ACGCGCCACCATGCCTAGCTAATTTTTTGTATTTTTGGTAGAGACGAGGTTTCACCATGTTGACCAGGATGGTCTCGATCTCTTGACCTCGTGATCCACCCGCCTCGGCCTCCTAAAGTGCTGGGATTACAGGCTTGAGCCACCGCGCCCGGCCTACTTTTTATATTTTTAATAGAGATGGGGTTTCTCCATGTTGGTCAAGCTGATCTGAACTCCCGACCTGGGTGATTTGCCCGCCTGGGCCTTTCAAAGTGCTGGGATTATAGTCATGAGCTACCTTGGCTGGCCGAGATTTATGTATTTTAAAGGAGTGTCCGTAGTTTCCTAGTAGCTATGTCTGTGATGGATAAGCAGATACAGAAATTCTCAGGAATTCCATAATGGTGAATGTTGTGTAGCTAAGGTATTGTCAGAGGAAATAATCTAAAGGTTTTGTGAATTCATGTAACCTTTGGGCTTGTCAGTTTAAGGTAATTCCTGCATTAGTAGGAAGATCATAGGGAAAATGATCTCAGTTGAGTGATATAACTTTGTCACCAGCCAGCAATCTAGTTTAATCAGGTAGAAATGAACTTTCTGCTTCATCAATATTTGCTTCTATGAAGGCTAGTTTTCCCACTTAGGTCATGAGAAGAATTGGTAGAGTCATTATAGAGTTGCCAAACCTGTTAACAAAAATAATGGCAAATCTGCATTTTTCTCTTCAACCATACTATAAAGTTGTAATAAGGTATACGCTGAGCATCGTGGCTCGTGCCTGTAATCCCAGCACTTTAGGAGGCCGAGGCAGGCAGATTCTATGAGTCCAGGGGTTGGAGACCAGCATGCGGAATATGGCAAAACCATGTCTCTATGAAAAATAGCCAGGTATGGTGGCATGTATCTTAGTCCTAGCTACTTGGAAGGCTGAGGTGGGAGGATTGCTTGAGCTTGGGGGGCAGAAGTTGTAGTGAGCCAAGATGGCAATGCTGCAGTCTACCCTGGGTCACAGAGTGAGACCCTGGCTCAAAAAAAATAACGGTGTAAATGACATCCAATAAAAGATGCATATTTAAGTTGTGATATATATATATATAAGTCTTGAATTTTCTACCTTTTTTTTTTTTTTTTTTTTGAGACAGAGTCTTGCTGTGTCACCTAGGCTGGAGTACAGTGGTGTGATCACAGCTCACTGCAACCTCCACCTCCAAGGTTCAAGCAGTTCTCCTGTCTTAGCCTCCTGAGTAGCTGGGACTATAGGTGCATGCCACCATGTCTAGCTGATTTTTGTATTTTTAGTAGAGATGGCGTTTCACCATATTGGTTAGACTGGTCTCGGACTCCTGACCTCAGGTCATCCACCAGCCTCGGCCTCCCAAAGTGCTGGGATTACAGACGTGAGCCACCGTGCCCGGCCTTGAATTTTCTCATAACCCCGTGAAACCATCAGATTCACAATGATGAACTTCTCTGTCACCTTTGTGTTTACCTGGAGTCTTTATAAAGATTTTTCTGTCTGCTCTCCAGACAACCATTGATTTACTTTTCTGTATAATAGAGTACTTTACATTTTCTGGAGTTTTCTGACTGCTGTAATAAAGTGTTTCCTCTTATAATCCATGGGTGCTCTCTTGCTTCATGCTTATTTTGATATCAGTAGAGACATATGAGTTGTTTATTCTTTTTATATTGCTGAGAAGTATAGTCTACCATGAAATGTCATGTATTCATTCATTCATCCATTTATGGATATTTGAATTGATGCTTGCTTTCTTAAGACTGTTGACAACGTTGGAGTGGCATGATTTTGGCTCACTGCAACCTCTACCTCCCAGGTTCAAGCGATTTTCCCACCTCAGCCTCCCAAGTAGCTGTGATTAGATGCGTGAGCCACCATGCCCAGCTGTTTCTGTATTTTTAGTAGAGACGGGGTTTTGCCATGTTACCAGGCTCATCTCAAACTGCTGGCCTCAAGTGATCCACCTGCCTTGGCCTCCCAAAGTGCAGGGTTACAGGCATGAGCCACTGCGTCTGTAATAGATTCTGAGGCCAGACGGGTGGTGGCTCACACCTCTAATCCCAGCACTTTTGGAGGCCAAGGTGGGCGGATATCTTGTGGTCAGGAGTTTAAGACCAGCCTGTCCAACATGGCGAAACCCTATCTCTACTAAAAATGTAAAAATTAGCCAGTCCTGGTGGCATGTGCCTGTAATCCTACCTACTTGGGAGGCTGAGGCAGGAGAATCACTTTAACCCAGGAGGTGGATGTTGAAGTAAGCTGAGATCGCACCACTGCACTCCAGCCTGGGCGACAGAGTGAGACTCTGTCTCAAAAAAATAAATAAATGAATAAAACCATTTATTGTGAAGATAATCCTAGCTCCCCGTGTGAGGATATTCCTGCAGTCACTGGAAAATAATAATCACTTTCTTGTAAGTAGATGAAATTTTGCAGCCCAGATGCCTTGTTTATGTTTCTCAGATGGCCTTTTTTACCTGTGCTGTAATTATGAAAGTTGTAGCCACTGATGTGTACCATAGTGACATCAGTTAAGTTGCTCTTCCTTTGAGATAGATGTCAGTGTGATAAAAGAAATTGAGTATACCTTAGCATGTGGATTAAGAAACGTAAGATATATTGCCTTGTAAGATATATTGCCGAGTTGAAATAAGGAAACTGAGGCCAGTATATAAAAATGAAAAATCCAATTTATTCCGCAATTTATTCAGCTCCCGGGCGAGGTTCTATGGTCCGGGATGGGGCCAGAGAAGTCGTGCTTAACTTCTCAAGGCAAGGGGTTTTATGGGGGGTCAGAGGCGATTGATTGGATATTGGGGAAGCAAAGCATAGGCAATTTCATTGGTTGTAGGGAGACAAGGCCCAGAC